CCCAGGCTGGAGTGCAATGGCGCGATCTCGGCTCACCGCAACCTCTGCCTCCTGGGTTCAGGCAATTCTCCTGCCTCAACCTCCTGTGTAGCTAGGATTACAGGCACGTGCCACCATGCCCAGCTAATGTTTTGTATTTTTAGTAGAAACAGGGTTTCACCATGTTGACCAGGATGGTCTCGATCTCTTGACCTCGTGATCCACCCACCTCAGCCTCCCAAAGTGCTGGTTTGAGCCACCGCGCCCGGCTTAATACTTGTATTTTTAGTAGAGACGGGGTTTTACCATGTTGGCCAGAATGGTCTTGATCTCCTGACCTCGTGACCTGCCTGCCTTGGCCTCCCAAAGTGCAGGGATTACAGGCGTGAGCCACAGCGCCCAGCCCATATCCATTATTAAAGATACCACATTTAGAGAGTTCAAACCAGGGGATCCTCATCAGGTGTATATAGTTCAATTTGGAGTCATTTGTATAAGCAATATTGCCTTATCAGGTTTCCAGGGGAATAGGGCAGCAAAGGAAAGTTTTGTTAACCCTTTACCCACATGGCATAATATTTAAAAGAAAAATTCCAGCCAGGCATGGTGGCTCAAGCCTGTAATCCTAGCACTTTGGGAGGTCGAGGCAGGTGAGTTACCTGAACTCAGGAGTTCAAGACCAGTCTGGGCAACATGGTGAAACCCTGTCTCTACTAAAATATAAAAAATTAGCTGCGGTGGCGACGTGCATCTGTAATCCCAGCTACTCAGGAGGTTGAGGCAGAGGTTGCAGTGAGCCAAGATGGCTCCACTGCACTCCAGCTTGGGCAACAGAGCAAGACTCCATCTCTAAAAAATAAATAAAAAGAAAAGAAAAATTCCTTCTAAGAAGTATTGGCAACCTTACATCAACATTTATTATTAAAAATCCTTGGTTACATTCATCTTAAACAGTTCATTAAAAAAAAAAAAAATGGCCGAGTGTGGTGGCTCACACCTGTAATCTAAGCACTTTGGAGGCCAAGGCAGGTGGATCACCTGAGGTCGGGAGTTCAAGACCAGCCTGACCAACATGGTGAAAATCCGTCTTTAAAAAGAATTTAAAAAAAATTAAAAAAAGTTCATCAGCTTTTGGGAACCATCGTACATTTTTTGGTTTTGAGACCCTCTCTTTTTTACTTTGGTCAATTTCTAGTAACAAATTACCAAACGATTTATAACTATCATAAAAAGCAGATAAATATTAGGACAATCTTTACTTAAAATGTGCCCTTGGCATAAGGCTGTAACGTAAAAAATAGATCCACTTTTTGCCTGTGGATGCTGCCAAGGGAGCATCATTAAAGTCTCTCTTCTCCCTGCCAATATCTAAGTCAGAGTCTCCTCAAGAGCCTGAACAACTGAGGAAGCTCTTCATTGCAGCATTGAGCTTTGAAAGAAACAATAAGGGCCTGAAGAGTCATTCTGAGCAATGGGGAACACTCACAGACTGTGTGGTAAAGAGAGATCCAAATACCAAACACTCCCGGGGTTTGGGGTTTGTCACCTATGCCACTGTGGAGGAAGTAGATGCAGCCATGAATGCAATGCCACGCAAGCTGGATGGAAGAGTTGTAGAACCAAAGAGAGCTGTCTCAAGAGAAGATCGTCAAAGACCAGGTGCCCATTTAACTGTGAAAAAGATATTTGTTGGTGACATAAAAGAAGATACACTGAAGGCCAGGCACAGTGGCTCACACCTATAATCCCAGCACTTTGGGAGGCCGAGGCGGGTGAATCACCAGAGGTCTGGAGTTAGAGACCAGCCTGGCCATCATGGTGAAACCCCATCTCTACTAAAAATACAAAAATATATATATATTTGCTGTGCATGGTGGTGCATGCCTGTAGTCCCAGCTACTCGGGAGGCTGAGGCCGGGGAATCACTTGAACCTGGGAGGCGGAGGTTACAGTGAGGCGAGATTGAGCCACTGCACTCTAGCCTGACAACAGAGCAAAACTCCGTCTCAAAAAAAAAAGAAAAACGAAAAAGAAAAAATATCATACCATGAATGGCTGCAATTGTGAAGTTAGGAAAGTCCTGTCAAAGCAAAGATTGCTAATGATGGCCAGGCACAGTGGCTCATGCCTGTAATCCCAGGCTTTGGGAGGCTGAGGTGGGCAAACCGTCTGAAGTCAGGAGTTCGAGACCAACCTGGCTAACATGGTGAAACCCCATCTCTACCAAAAATACAAAAATTAGCTGGGCATGGTGACACACGCCTATAGTCACAGCTATTTGGAAGGCAGGAGAATCGTTCGAACCCAGAAGCGAAGTTTGCAACAAGCTAAGATCATGACACTGCACTCCAGCCTGGGCGACAGAGCAAGACTGTCTCCAAAAAAATAAAAACAAAAATAAGAGCGAGAGAGATGGCTAGAGCTTCATGCAGCCAAAGTTGTTCAGGAAACTTTGGTGGTGGTCGTGGAGATGGTTTCAGTGAAAATAACAACTTTTGTCGTGGAGGAAGCTTCAGTGGTCATGGTAGCTTTGGTGGCAGCCATGGAGGTGGTGGATATGGTAGCAATGGGATGGCTATAATGGATTTGGTAATGATGGAATTCTGGAGGCTGTGGAAGCTACAATGATTTTGGCAGTTACAACAATCAGTCTTCAAATTTTGGACCCATAAAGGGAGGAAACTTTGGAGGCAGAAGCTCTGGCCCCTATGGTGGTGTAGGCCAATACTCTGCCAAGCCACGAAACCAAGGTGGCTATGGCAGTGGCAGAGGATTTTAATTAGGAAACAAAGTTTAGCAGGAGAGGAGAGCCAGAGAAGTGACAGCAAAGCTACAGCTTACAACAGATTTGTGAACTTAGCCAAGCACAGTGGTGGCAGGACCTAGCTGCTACAAAGACATGTTTTAGACAAATACTTATGTGTAAGGACAAGAAACTCTAGGACTATATTTGTGACTGCATAACAGGTCATTTTACTTTCTGTTCTGTGGAAAGTGTAAAGCATTCCAACAAAGCGTTTTAATGTAGATTTTTTGTTTTTTGCACCCATGCTGTTGATTGCTAAATATTAATAGTCTGATCATGACGCCAAATAAATCTTTAAAAAAAATAAATCCTTGGGAATAACTAACATTTCCTTACTAACTTCTTTGACAAGTTTAACTCATCTTTAAAAACTTTCAACATGAGGCCCAATATGATGGCTCACACCTGTAATCCCAGCACTTTGGGAGGCCAAGGCGGGTGGATCACAGGGTCATGAGTTCGAGACCATCCTGACCAACATGGTGAAACGCCATCTCTACTAAAAATATAAAAATTAGGCTGGGCGTGGTGGCTCATGCCTGTAATACAAGCCCTTTGGAGGCCAAGGTGAGTGGATCACCTGAGGTCGGGAGTTCAAGACCAGCCTGACCAACATGGTGAAACCCCGTCTTAAAAAAATAATAAAATTAAATTAAAAAAAAAAATTAGCCGGGTGTGGTGGCGCATGCCTGTAATCCCAGCTACTCAGGAGGCTGACGCAGGAGAATGGCTTGAGCTTGGGAGGCAGAGGTTGCAGTGAGCCGAGATCATGCCACTGCACTCCAGCCTGGGGGACAGAGTGGGACTCCATCTCAAAAAAAAAAATAAAAAATAAAAATAAATAAATAAAAACTTTCAACATGAATAAGATGAGGTGACTGTCTAAGCTGTCATTTTCTTAGAAATGTTCCTGGTAAACACACACATTTCAATCTTCAAGGATAACAAAGGAAGCACTATGTTTTGTTTTTTTTTTTTTTTTTTTTTTTTTTTT